TAAGATGAAGAATCAGTGTGTCTCCCCCTAAGAGTGACACTACTGCAGTTAAGGAGATTTTCCATGTAATTCCATATAAAATCTCTGTCCTGCTTTCTGTTTCCTCCTGTAAGTTTTTATTGCCTTCCCATGCTTAGATGTCTCCAAAATAGTTGTATAAATATATGTGGAACAGTCAGAGCTTTTATTCTAGGCACTTTTTAAGACTTTGATTGATTGCAATTGTTGGGGTTTTTTTCTGGTAATTTATTTTGTTTAAAATTCTGACTCGTCTATGTTCTGGTTTTGGCTACCAGGCTAAAGAATTAACAAATATTTGGTTAAAAAAGAATTTTAATATTTAAAAATTAATTCTTCAAAGTTTTTCTCCTTTTAACATCTACACAGATGTTAAAAGGAGCACTAAGGATCCCAAAGCTATTACCTGAACTGTAGGGAAGATGACTATTAAGGAGTATGAGATAATGTTTACAGATTCTCCAACCCAATTAATTCTGGTTTTGAGAAGAATTGGCCTTCCTGTCTTTGCCCAGATTTTACCCATTTAAACACAACAACTACCAGTGGTAGTAGCTGTAGTAACCCAGACTAACATGCTCTATTTATAGCTACTATAAAAAAAAAAAAAAAACGAATGTTCATTAAATGCAGTTGGTTGGGGATAACACGAGTATTTAGGTTACTCAGGTTCTCTTTTGCCAAAAAAAACCCCCAAAACAGAAGTGTGGTGATCTTTCTGTTGTTGATGCTGCAATAACTGGGTGAGAGGATCAGCATGTAGAACGATGGGAAGTGCCAGTGAATACTGCGCAAAGAACTGGCTAGCATGACTTGAGAGAAGTTTGTCACAATCAGGGAACATTTTTAACAGTGCTAGATGTCTGCAGGGAGCCCATACTACTCAATTCCGTGTTTGGATCAGTGAAGTTCACATCTTAAAACACTGAAACCTAAATGAAAAGGGTAAATGTTTATGGAAACTGCAGTTCTGCAGAGCTGGAGGTTGTGCTCTGGCTCCCTGCACCACAGGGTGGGTGAGGGAGCTCCATGGGCTTCCCTGGCTCCAGCTGCAGGAGCAGCAGGAGGATCTTCCTCATCTCCCACAGCTTTGCACTGCGCCTCTGCTGATGGGATGTATCCACAAAAGAAATGCCATCACACTTTTGGTTAAAAAGCATTGATTCCCCCTGACAGTAATTCCTGATAATCCAGTTCTGATGGAATCAGACTAACTAGACTTTGGAGAGAAGGGCCTTTTTTAATCTCTTCATAAGTAGTTTAAACTTCTAACACAGCTTCCATAGGTCTGAATTCAAACTTTGTAAAATTGATATTAATATCACGAAAAAGTATTTAAATTCTTAAGGCTGATCAAGCCAATTCATACAAATCCTTAAATCCAAGATTGATAGTTATTGCTTCTTGCAGTAATCTCAGTGATTTGTGATGATTTCCTTATAATCCTCTTTAATATGCTGCAGGAGCTGGCAAGACAGTTGGAGTGGAATTCTGATTGGGATGGGAAACATTTTTTGTATATGTGTGTAACTGTGACTCTGAATCAGACAAGATAAGAGTTTATAAAACACGGGGCTCCAAACTTTACATATTGAAACCTGATGTGGTACATGCTCTTGGGAATGTGGTGTGATCCTAGGGGTGATCATGTGCAGGGTCTGGAGCTGGGTTTCCATGATCTTAGTGGACTCTTTCCAGTCACAGACTATGAAATGAGGATAGACACAGCACAGGCCTCTTTGTTAGCTGATAGCACTGGCTTTTTGCTTTTTCTGGTGTCCTTCTCTCACTTTAATATCCGTATGTTTTCAACTGTTAGGTGCAAAGGTTATCACTTGCATGCAAAGGTGTCATGCATTAATTTTAATGATGAAACAACTAGCTATTCTTAAGAAACTATCCTGTTCTTGTATTTATGAGAATCTGTAAGCCTTATCACAAAATCCTTTCATTTTACTGCTTAACAGGAGAAGGAAATGCCTGGCTGGACATGGTGAATGTCACCCAGGCTCCCAGCATGATCTGTGTTCCCACTCAGACCTACTGAGAGCAAAATGGTCTGAAATGGCAGCCTTGGAAAGAGCATTTTGTTCAGTTGTTCAGGCATCTAGAGCCCAACAAGATCACAAGACTGTTTTGGTTTCCTTTCCCAGGGGAAGATTAGTTATAAACGTGACTAAAATTTTCAAATTCTACAGCTCATCTCACAACTGAACTTTCCTGACAGGGAAAGATGACTGTCCCTTCTTACAGAACTTGGAGATTTCTTGCAGCTCTTTCCAACCTGGTATCCCAGTCTCTTTAGCACACTATTTGTCTTCAGATAAAGCAGTATTTAAATTATCTGTGCTTCCCTGGTGTGCTGTGTGTTATTTTACATTAGGATAAATTTAGCTCTCTCCATTCCATGCTATGTTTTGGCAATTTTCAAGCTGAGGTTGGGAAAGAGGTCTTGCAGTGTTCCCCCAAGTAACTGTAAACATAGTTGAATAATAGAGAACCTGAAGAGCCTTTCAAACTTGTCTTCATGTTGATGGTGTCACTAAATATTTAAAGACCAAAAAAACACCTTACAATCTTTCCTTTTTTAATTAAAAATGCAATAGATGCAGCCAGAACTCTTGCTATTCAGGTTTGCAACAGAGCAAAACAAAACCTGCTTTGAAGTCTTGTCAAAGGACAGACTTGCAGGGTTTCTCTGTACCTGGGATCTGACATGTCTGACATCACAGGTGTTCTACGTTAATAGATTAAATAGTTTTATAGCAAAATCTAGTGATACATGTATCCTGTCATGTATTTCCTGTCCCTTGCCAAACTTTGTTATTTAAACTGGCTGCATAATTTTCTAAAAATCTTTAAAATCTTCCTAATCTATTAAAGTCTTAATGAATTCAACCTTTCTAATCTCTTCTATCAAGAGTTTCTTTCATTTCTTGTGGCTGCCACTATTATCTCTGATTCCTGACCTGTGTTGCTCACACCTGCTCTCCCAGCGTAGGGAAAAAGGAGAGCACAGTGACTCTCCCAAGTATTTTCATTGTTGCTGACTTTTAAAAACCTGATGGAGTGATAGTTCAGTTCAACCTGTGAATATTTGGGGTTTTCATTTCACTGGCTGAGATCTGCCTCAAGGAGCTTATGCCCAGTTGGGCCTTGTGAAAGTCTCTTATCTGAGCACATTGTGTCACCTCAGCCTCTTCCCATGCCTCTTGATAGCTCAGCTCCCAAGGTTGTTTTCCAGCTGTTCCTTTGATCTGCTTTCTGGTGTTTCTCTTACAGTAAGGAAAGTATCCCAACATCCACCTGGAGAAACCACTGTGAATCCTGAAGTAGCAGATCCCTTATGAGGAACCTTCCAACCCCTCTGACTCATTGTGCTGTTACTCCTACCTGGACAGAGAGTTACTCTGGTTGTTATCCTGCCCAGGAGCAGTGTCCTTTACAGGCACCATCCCCTGCTGTCCCAGAAAGGAAGTTTCTTTAGTGTCAGTACAAATTCCCAAATCCTGGTTACACTTTGGTCCACAGACTGAGTGCTTTAAAGCTGCTCTAGATTTTAGCTCTGCTTCCTCTATGTCAAAAAAATCCTTGTGTCCTGGTTTGGTTTTGTTCCATTCTCAGACAGGAATGCTGGGAAGCTTTAATAAAACTGTTCATATCCATTAGATGATGGGATGCATTACAGTGTAACTCGTGAACATCAGCCTCACTGAAGGCTTCTCACACCTCCTTGGCATGTGGTAAGTAGCTTTACTCACAGGACTGCAGGCTTGTTTGGGAACAGAGCAGTGCTGGGATTGCTGCCCCAGCACACACTTCCAGAAACCACCAGTGTGTGGGGGTGTTGCAGGTTACTGCTGGCCACCCCAGGTCAGACAGACACATCTGCTGTTACTCAAGGATCAGGGTGGGAGGTAGGAGTTGATACTTCCTGATATTCCACTGTGTCTTGTACTGCCTGTTCAACCTTTCCAGGGAGTCTTTGCTGGAGGCAGCTGTTTTGGGTGAAGGGAGCAAGGTATGAGAACACCCTCTGATACTGCCTGCTCTTCTCAGGGACCAGACAGGAACATGCCTCATGCAAACTCCAGTGGGGCTAGAAGGTCTTCTAATAGTTTTACCATACCCAGATGTGGAACAGCTCTTTGGGACACACTTTGCAAGTATTTCACAGATAAGTACCTCTTCTTTCCTTAAACTTAGCAAATATGTGTAATGCTATTTATTTGTTTAGCCTCACTTACTATGATAATGGTCTGCTCTGGAACTAAATCCCAAGGAGTATTTTAGTGCATGGAGCTGCATGTTTTTCAGCCTCCAAAGTGGAGAGTCCTGAGAGCTGAAATCTCCAGTTGTTCATTGTTCCATTCTTTCAGACTTGGTCATGTGGTAGCAGAAGCAGCAGCAGCACCAAGCACTGCAAATGTTTTTCTATTCTTCCGTGTACATCCTGGAACTGTGCAGTATCCAGCAAGAACATGGTATGGGTGCCAAAGAATTAATGATCTTCAACAACCCTGTGGTGGAATGGCCTACTTTATAGCAGCAAGTTTATGCCTAATGAGATACAGACATTCCCTCTCCATATTTCTGTCCAGTATATGCTGCAGGATAAACAAACCTGTGCTGCTGGGTCAGAGTGGTGTTCAGCAAGGGACTGAGTCACAGGCATACAGACTGGAGAAGGAAGGTTTGATAGATCCCAAGATCTTCCATAATTATAAAACAAATTTTGTGCAAATATCTAAGAAACCCTAAGGTAGAAATTCAGCAGTTTTTTTGGTTGTATTGCTTGCTGAAACCAGAAAAAAACCATTTGAAGCAGAGGCTGATTGAGCACCTCTCAGGACTCATCCTTGTAGCTGTGGTGATTTCAGTTTGAACCAACTGGGACCACCAGAATAAAGAGAGACTCTGAGCTCTCTGTCTCCTGTGCTCTGCTCCTCAGCCCAGTAACAGAGCAGCTGGAACACAAGGACTCACCAAAGGAACAGTTGTGTTTATTCCATTACTCACAGCCATTACCCAGATGAAGTCATAATAACCAATAAGACCCCATAAAATTATAATGCTTGAGAATACATTAACTCGTCTGAATGTAACCCCAAATTAATAACCTTTGAATATTCTCTTCCCAGCTTCTGCACTGCAGTAGAACAGCTATAGCACTTAATCTAGTTATTGCTCTGGAAAAAAATGGTGTGTTTTACTCAGCAGCACAAACCTGCCATCTGGCACATGAAGCACTGATGCAAAATCCTTGCTGTCCCACAGCTTATTATGTGCTTTTCATAACTCCCCTTAAATAAATTAATGAACAGTGTGTAAGATGTCTTAAAGTCAAAACAGTCTTAAAATGACTGCTCTTTTAAACAGGGAAGTTAAAGTACTCAAACAGTACATAACATGGCCACTGACATTTAATGCTGATGTTTTCTTTGAACATAATTTCTTGTGAATGGTGTCTTGCTGCAGTCTAGGTTTTCACAGTCACTGATATCCTGTTCCCCAGATTAGCTATTCTGTAGATGTTTACAACTGTAACATTCAGTTAAATGTGTAACAGGATTACAGATGAGTGGCCAGTCCATGGTAATGATTTCAGCTGGAAGTTTTTGACTCTTAAGAAAAAAACCAATCATGACATCCTAACCAGAGATCAGAACCTCAGCACATAAAAGCTACATGTATCTATACCTACATGATCTTGTCCATGTTAAGCACAATATTTGTGTTTTCCTTCCCTTTCTTTTGTTTGTTTTTTCATTGCAGTAGTTTTCCATTCTAATAATTTCCATACTCCCAGCCAGGACCCCCAAAAATCAAAGGATTAAATTAAAAGGAACAGATTCAGTTGAAATGAGAAGTGTTATTTTCTGGTATCAATCAGCTCACCAGATCACAGCAAGCCTTTATCTTTGCAAGGCAGTTCTTTCACTCCTGGTAGGACATAAGTTACCAGGGTACAGACTTTATTCACAGCCATTATTCCAAATGTGGGACCTAATCAGGCAGTGATGGGACAAACACACCTGAACCTCTAGCAAATATGGATATTTAACAATTTCTGTTAAGATACAGACTCTGAACATATGGGCTGTCGTTTTCTGACTCAGTCTAGTATCTGTGCTAGTCCTTTTCATACCATCGTCCATAGAGAGCAGCTGTCAGGAGGCCAGCAGATGTTCTATTTTTGCTGAGGAAATAGTGGTTGTTCTTCCAGCCCATGTGATCAGCAAAGTCCAAGGTAATACCAGATGTCAGCAGCAAAGGAAAGATGTAAGGGGTGCTCATATTTCCCCATAGCTGGAAATCTATCAGAGCAGTGGCATCCGTGACCTCCTGTCCACAAGTGCTAAAGCTGAGCCCACCACACTTCACCAAGGCACAGGCCTGGACATAGTATGTGCCATGCACTGTGTGGAGCCCATCAAAAACTCCCAAAGCATATAATTCATCAGTTAGAACAGCTTTCTGATAGTTTAAGTAACAACAAAGGCTATTGGCACAAACCTGGAGCTCTCCCTTTTCCCCCCATAACGGAACAAAAGTGAAGTTGTCATACATCATTTCTGCATAAAAGGAAGGAGGTGACTGTTCCTTTCCTTCTCCTTTTTCAGATACTCCACCAGCAGTCTCTTCTTGCTCCTTAAAGCAAACTTCATCATCCAGTGAGGTGCTTGTAGAAGTCCTGCATGAGCCATGTAAGTTCTCTCTAAATCTTTCATTACTCTCTAAATTGGTTTTATAATCTGCAGTAGTCACAGGAATTTCTGCTACTATGAGCTTGCCACCATAACTTTCCATGTTGTGATAGATGAATGATTTGACTGGAGTGTATATGCCACTCCCTGTCATGCCCAAGGTAGGGTGGTGGATGTTGGCTGCTAAAATATTGACATTGAAAGCTGTTGAAAAAGCTTGTTGGAACTCTACAGCAGACAGGAGCGGGAGCTGGTTCATCCAGGCAGTTGGGTAAACAATTTGCTTCAAATTGTACTGTCTGATGAGGCTCACTGCAGGCTCATAGAAGAGTATATCAAAGCACGTGAACATGCCAAACGTGCCAGCAAAAGGGGTGTCAAAGAGTGCGTGGTCTGGCTGGGCAGGGGTGTCGAAGGCGCTCTCGAAGTACAGGTTGTGCTTGCGGTAGGTGGCCAGCAGCGCGCCGTCCGCGCCCAGCGCCACGTTGGTGTTGAACTGGAAGCGCCCGTCGGGCGGGCACCGCGGCTCCCGGCGCTCGCACGGCTGCTTGGTGCCCAGGTTGGCCACCAGGAAGATCTTGTTCTGCAGGGCCATGCAGCTCAGCCGCTGAACGACCTGCGGCACGGCATGGGAAATGGGAGCGCGTGACAATGTGGTGGAGTGAGTTTTTCTGTGACTTATTTCATGTCGTTTTGGAAATTCAAAATTGAACGCGTTTAACCATATCCGTAAAATTTAAAAGCACTGATGACTTTGTGACAAAAGCTACTGGAGCCAGTAGCTTTGTAGGCAAAATTTCAAATGTTTATTTTAAAACATCTCTGAAAAAAAATTGGCAAAGTTTTATTTCCTCAGAAAGAAGTAAGTAAATAAATCTATGCCAAGGGTGTTAATTTTTAGAAACTTGTGACTTTTAGGAGCACCAATGGCTTTAAATACTGTATGTCAACTGAAAACTTTGCCAAGGCAGCACAACTGATCTGCGGTGCCTTAAGAACAGCAATTGTCTAATAATTATAATCTGCACCTGGATGTTTTTACTATAAATTTTTAAAAAGCAATTACTACCTATGATTTAGAGAAGCAGAGATGGAAAGGGACAGACCTTGCATATTTTACAGCAAAGAAACAGAAAATGTTGCAGACCCCACAGTATTACTGGGATATTTCTTCCGTAACACAGAGTGCTGTACCAAGGACTGACATTACTGCAATCTCCAAACAGCAGCTGAATGGCAAACTAAGTTCTTGCTTGCTTGGCCATGGTCATTGGTAACAAAGATTCAAATAGATCATTGTTTACAATTGTGATTCACACTCACACACAAATCCTGCTCACTAGGTACAGGCATGATTTCTTTCCTTATATTGATTACTGGAAGAATTAGCAGTCTGTATTTACTGAGCATGGTTATTTTCAGTTCAGGTCCAGAACAGTCACTGACAATACTATTTTTGTAACATCCAGGTCATATCTTATGTAAAAATGCTTGGTCCCTGCCAAGCTGTGACTTCTATTACATTCTAGCAGGTAAGTCCTGTTACTTGTGCTAATCATTTGACAAAGATTGCTGAGTCAGAATGCTGAGATGTCATTAAGTCATTGAAGACAAATAATGAGAATGGACCAAAAGGGAAGATACTACTGTCTTGTTTTATATAAAACAATGTTGTTCAAACTAAAACCACACAGAACAGATCTTACAAGAGAGTAGTTACCATTTCAGAGGTTGGAAGGAGGAGATGACAAATCCAGATGGTTCATACACAACTGATCTCCCTGCACGTATGGATCTAAACCCTCCACTGCTAAGAATGAAACCAGCAGAGCTTGAGCATCCATGAAAACAGAATCTGGTACTAGGAATTGCTAAACTTCTTGCTTACTTCCCTTTGAACTACTTCCCACTTGGAGCATTCAGTTATCCCACCCCTGCAGGCATCACCCCTACATTTACCTCTGTGTCATTGTACAAATAGGGCTCTCTGCAGGGATTCCACTTCCCAGGGTGTGAATACGGAATGAAATCCAGGTAAGGGTAAATGGAGCTTCTGGTGAAGTTGAAGCCATGGATTCCATCTTCAGGAAAAACAATGATCTGTGCCCCCTGTATGTAAAACAAAGACACATTTTGTAGACAAAGCAAAGGAAAAGGGGGGATCTCATGGGTAAAAAGATCTAAAGAAAGTTAAGGATAACCCAGTTATGTTTTGCCAATAATGTAGCTTGAAGATGCCTTTTCTTCAGCTTCATAGTAGGTGTAACTATGTAACAGGTGTGTAACTATATGTATAAAAAAAATTGTTTAACTTGATGCATACCATTTCTTGAAAAAATAATGCATTTGACATCATTTTAAGGGCATGCAAATAAGAGTATACCGCATCCAATTTCTTACCAAAAGTATCCTCCCTTCACACAAGTTATGAGAATGTCATCATTCAGGTTAAAGACTTATGATGTTAAAACTTGTCTTAATTTTTTTATCAGAATTATGGTATTTGCAGATACACTTTGTCAAAGTGTACAGCATCACTTAATTAATTAGGTATTGGGTGATCTACACCTCTCTGAATTTTCCCAAAGCAAATACAGACTGACAGACACATGAAGAGACATCTCTAAATCCCATTGTAGTATATGGTTGGACAGGGAGTGTTGATTTCAGAAACAGCTTCACTGTGGGAGCAGTGCACAGCCTGGTAGAAATGTAGCCATGCCAGAGGCTCTGCCTGAAATTCAGGGAGATCTGAATAGTTCCTGAAAATGAGGTGGATTCTTCTTAAATCAGACACAGCACCAGTCACTCAAATTCCTGTTTTCAAAAGTCAGCTCAAACGTGTTATCTGTGTCATGATTCTGGGGTAATTTTGTGTCTTGGGTGCAGGGCTGCATAAAAATTGCTATTATGCTTCTGCCCAATCATATGAACTTCTCAAAAAAAATAATATCATGTTTTCAAATTATATAAAAATAGTAATTCTTCTCTCCCAGAACAACAGATCTCTGAAAACTGCAAGTCAGTTTTTCTCTGTGCAGGGCCAGTAACACTTGCTTCCTGTCACTAGAACCAGCCTGGCCTTTCTTGGGAGGGGAGGAAAGAGGGCTGTGCCTAAGAACAGCTGGCAATACTAGTCTCTCTTCTCTAAATATATTTAGACTGAGAACTATTCCATGGTGGGTAGGAGAAAGGAATGGAAAATTTTAGTTCCACAAAGCTGTTAAAAGCAGAACATTCATTTCCAAAGCATTTGACTTCTTTAGTTTTTAGAAACATTCAGGAATTTCCATTGAGAGCACTGGAATAAAACCAAACCCAAGACAGCTGCCAGCAAGACAAACTTTCAAGGAAACCCTTCCATTTAAGAAAACAGAAAGGAGGTAGGTATTCAGACCAAAATAGAAAATTAATTTCCCTATACTAAATAACAATGGGTGTGTTTTTCCAAGCTTGGAATAGCCCGAGTCGGGCGGGATGCTGACTGGCCTGCTTCTTTTTCAGAGCTGCTGGCAGTCAGATCGTCTGAGAACCCAGACCATAGCTCTGGATATAAATACGGCTTCAGTTGCCTGGGAACACAGATGTGAAAGGTTATCTTCAAACAGCATACAGCCAGGGCGCACGCAGCGCTGCCCGGAGCTGGGCATACCTGCCTGGCAGCAGCCAGCACCTGCTGCTCATAGATGTCGAGGTTGCGGCCCATGAGCTGCAGCGCGGCGCGGCGCTCCACCCGCGCCGCCGGGGCCGGGCTCAGGATGGACTCGTGCTCGTACACGGCCGCCACGTAGTGCCCGTCCCGCCCCGCTCCTCCTGACACCGCCTGGCACAGGAGAAAGCAGATGGGCAGCTTCCAGCACACAGCCACCATGGTGAATGCCAGGAATCTGCAGGGAAAATAAACCCAGACAGGTGGGGTGGGGGAGCTTGAGAAAAATATCATGCCAGGAACTTAAATTTACAATTAAGCGTGGATGGTAACTGAGGCTCTCAGCAGTGTGGTGCTTTTAAGTTCCTGGATGACCACGTGCATGTTGTTTCTAAACCTTAAATCCGTCTACACTGGTGCTTTGAACAACTGTGTCCTGTTCAAAAGCATTTAAGCTTCATACGTAGTTCCAGTGATCTCCTTGCTTGGTTTCCCTTTATAATTAACGTTCATTAATAGATTATTTCACCATATATCAAAACATCTTTGAGAAAAGTTTAAAGCTGCTCACAAATTTGCAGTTCCTCCCCCATTCAGTGATGGGAGATGTATTTAAAAGTAGCATTTCCTAAAATTACTGGAAGACTGTATTAAGCAGTCAAGCAGAAATAGGACTTATTTTATCAACACTGAAATAGATAATTGCCAAGAGAATTACACCAGACAATACTTCTGCATCTATCATGAAAATGCCTCTCCTAATGGATTCAGAATTCACTGTATTCTAGCTCCACATATGAAATAGGCAAATATTTCTCCTACAGTGCAGCTTTTTTGAACACTTACAAAAATGTTGAGTGCAATTCAGATTGGCATTCCTCCCACATAATGCAGATAAGTAAGTTTAAAAATGCTTTCATAGTAACAAAAATAAATCAAAAAAATCTATCTAATTTGCATTAGTTAGCTTTTCTTTGAAAAAATGAAGAATTATTGAGTCTGAAAGGCTGGGACACTCTGCAATATGGGCTCCCCATGTAACCTTTTGACTTCTCAAGTTAGGGAAAGATTTAGAACAAGGACTGACACAGTCACTGGTTGTGCAACACTTCAGGAAGACTATAGAAATGCCTTTTTATTCAGAATTATTCTCATATGAGAATTCTATGTTTGTCACCACAGTGTCACTAGTATCATTAAGGAATTAACTCTTGAATATGAGTGGAGTTGAAAGAGGGTGCAGGAGAGATTACTGGTGCTATATGTTGATAGCCCTAAGTTCAGTTACTGACTTTTTAATTGTATTTGCTCTCTGGGAACTTGCATTAAAAAAAAATAATTCCAAAACACTCTTAGTGCCCTTCAATCTTTGTGACCTACAGCTCCCTGAATTTTTCCAAAGCAAATAAAGACTGACAGACTCATGCATGAAGAGACTTCTCTAAAGCTCAGCAGGAAAAAAAGATCAATTCTAAACTAATCACAGTCTTATTTTTATTTATATTCTATTTAATGTAGTTTTGTACCTAAAAAAAGAAAGTCTATGGCAAGTTAACTGAAAATATCTCTTTGCTTGAATTCCAGGATGAAAAGCAGCTAATAACAATCCTCAACACTGCTTTTTTTCCCTAAACACCAACTCTTTTGTACCTAACAATGAGCAAATGCAAAAAGCATTATGTAGGAGAGCAAAATTATAACCTTGGTGCCCATGGTAGGCAGAAGAATTGTTTGCTCAACCAAAAGGACTTAACATGTAATAGTAACACTTCTAAGGGTACAGGAGTAACTTAGCTGTTCAATGCTGCTAAGCTCAACTACATATTCCTGTTTCCTTGAGCTTTAACTAGTCAGTGTGTCCGTACATACATGCCTTCAAGGGAAAATTTATTTAAAGTGTGATGAAAACAGAATAAAACTTTGGCCTCTCTGTAATCAGATGGATTAAAGATACTGTATTTATGTAAACAGTTTTGAAAAGTGATGTATGACAAGCTATCCTTGCTATTCTGCATGTGGAGGAAAACATTTGGTACTTTTGGGGGTGATTTGGAAGTGCATGCCAAGAATGGAGGGGCCTCCTTGCCCTGTGCAGCTCAGCTTTGCAACTGCAACACCAAAGCACATGTGAAGAGATAAAGCAGTAGCAGGAGGAGGGAGTTCAGGAGTGGGAAACCTCTCACAGTTAAGGAACATACTGAAAATAAACAAGCTGTGCTGCACTTCACTGACAAAACTCTCTTTTCTACTTCTTGTCACCCCTTCCAAGCCACAATGCCTATTTAGGGCAGGAATGGGCTCTAGTCAGCTGCTCCTTAATAAAGTTGTCAACTAAGATGTAATTAGAATTCATCATTACTAGTGATGGAAAAAGTTGGAGAGTTTCAGATCACGAGATGGAATTGCTATGCATTAGAAAAACTGCCTTTTTAAAATGCCAAACACACCAATAAAAAAAAAAACAGGTAATGAGCCTCTACAAAATGTTGCATTTTGCAAACATGCTTGGAGAGGTCTTGTTTCTGTACCATGTTTCATTTCCTGGTGATCAGAAACACTCCAAAGAAGTAATCTGAATCTTTAACTCATTTACATGCACAAGAGGTTTAGCACTGAACAAGCAACTTCACAATCCCATCTGGCTGAACCTGGGGCAACTGAAATAACTAAAATAATTCCTCTGAGTCTCCACTCCTCTGGGCTGTGATTACTGCCAGTCCTACAGATGGTGGCTGAGCACTTGTGTGAGTGCTCCCTAAAGCCCTTCCCCTGTCTTAACAACAGCTTAAACAACAGGGCTCTGCTCTCTCACGGATTGCTTCTAACACACAGAGCCACGACAAGCCCCAGGGCTGGGCTTGGGTGTATTAAACTTTCCAGCCAAAATAAGGATACCAACAAGGTTTACTCAGCCCTTGGGCTGTTGAGATTCCAAAAAGTGTGTCTCTGCCACACTCTGGATGCTTTTACTACAGGAAGATGTCACACCATCTCATAAATCTTTTCCTTGAAGAGAAGTTAATTTGCTTAGGATCTACAGAGCTATCACCTCACCTGAGCCATGAGTTTAAAATTTCATTACTTTACAAATGCTTTACAATTTTATCTCTTTTTGTGTCCCTTTCCTGTGATTTATATGGCCTTTTGCCTGACAGAAAAGCTTCAGCAGAATCATGTCACCCAAATATAAATATTTCACAGCAGTATTACTGTCATGCAGTCACAACATTCCAGCTGTAGCTCTCCACAAAGGGTAAAAAGATTGGTGTCCAAGTTTGGATGCCAGGTTTCCTCCCCAGTCACACTGCAGCCTGTTTTGCTTTTCAGAACCATCTGATCTCAGTGTGTTGTGAAGTAAAGCATCCAGTCACTCTCTTTTCAACTTTGGAAGCTTAGAAGTCTGTCACCTGTCACCACACCTGGAGATATACACAGACAAAAGCAACACATACCCTTCTTCTTCACACTTCTACACTCAGAGGAATCTTGAAAGAACAGAGGTAGCACAGCACTAGTCTGGGTCCTCCTGAGTGATTAATAGCAAATCCATGTTAAGCTATGCCCAACATATAGTATAATAACATAAATAGCAACATAAGGAGTAGTAATAGTAACATGAACAGTAATGATTACTAGGTAAATATTCAATTTGCCATGAAAAAATAAATTGTTTTTTAGGTTGAATGATAACTTTGGATTGTGATGTTGTTGCCATTCTGCTATATATTATACAATGTATTTTAAAAATACATAAAATATAGTGAAATTCAAGGTGTTTTCCACTGATACCTCGTGTCTACTGCTTTTATTTGCTGCATTATATTACAATATTTTATAATGTAGGTTTTGTGAAGGTTTTTGCTATCTATGCCATCGGTGTTTTGTTATCTATGTGTTTTTGTTGTTTGGCGGGTGAGGGCGAATGGAGCGCTGCTATCACCAGTGGTTCGGCTGGACAATGCGGGCGGTGGCACGGACAGGCCGGACCGTGAGGCGAGGACATGCTGTCACCTGTGTCACTTGAGCGACCCGTGCCGGGATGGGCAGAGGGGC